ATACTAAGAAAGGACGTAGGTGCTTGACTTGCCCAAGCACTAAACCACACAGGGCTAATGAAAGCGATTTTCTACCCCACTAAAACTATTGTGTCTAAAAGGACTAACTACCAGAGGCAATGTTTCGTTTTAATTATTTCTTAATAAAGTGAACAGGCAACAAAAAATAATCTTTATTCAAGAAATAAATTTCTCGCTTGCCTAAGGTTTCAAATGTATCCATGTTACGGGTGTTAAAACTAATTTAGTGGTTTGACTAATTTAGAATAATATAAACTCAGAATCCCCGGTGAGTTTACTGTTTACGATTTAGTTATTTAAAACTGAGTCCATGGAACGGTCGAAATCAATTCGCGATACATGCAGAGTCACCTGTCTTAAAGAGCAACAGCAAAGCTTTTTCTAATGGTGTACTTTTTTGTGTGGATGCATAAATGAAATGCAATGACACTGATTCCATCCTAGGGGCACGAAGTTGGAGCGCGCATAATCGCAACCGGGTTTTATGTTCTTTCAAGTCCCATGAAAGATAAATTGAAGTTCACGTTCGCTTCCGCTTTCGCTTTTTCAAAAGTACCCATACTATTAATCTCTAGGGGTATATTTTAGCAGCAACATATGAAAACTATATTTTGCATAAAGTCCAAATCTGAAATCTTGACGGTCCAGAATGTGTTCCCTTGAGTGATCTCTTTTCTACGCAAAAGGGCTCCGAGAGGCCGTTTCGAAGTCAGAAACGCGTTTGCATGGAATGCTCTTCACAAACAACAATTCACTTGCAGTTATAACTGAGGGTTTATAAAAAAAACCAACAACTGACAGGTCTCGATTCTATATAAGTAGAGGCCCATTTATACTTTGAACCTTCTAACATGCAGTCGACGATGAATTTTACCAAACGTAGAGTCGACTAAGGAAAAAAGCGGACGCGCGTTGTTTCTTAGACATCACTCACGAGTTACTCGTAAAGAGACGGCAAAGACGGGCAAGAGCTGCGTGCCTGAGATCTGACTTGAATACATTCCATCCGAAATAGGTGAACGTTTGCTGCTCCTTTATCGCTAGGCATATAAAAGTGTCTCTAAAGGTACATCTATGCCAGAAATGGCTGAAGACAAATTGGATCGACGGGGCGTTAGAACGATCACAAATTGCTTTCTCCGCTGCATTCTAAACTCGCGCGAGACTTGTACCGAAAAACCAAAGCGCACGGCACTGAAGTCTGCTTGAAGGCAAGCGACGTCGTCTCGCGTTCAACCTTTCATTGAAATAGCGCAATTTTGCTGCGTTCCGAGTACGAGAGCGCCAATAACGCGAACAGTGTCGGAGGGAATGATAAAAATATCGCCCGCGCTGTCACTACAAATTTCTTGGATTCGCGCAGGCGGCGTGTAGCGTAAAATGGAGCCCAAACTTGATTTATTGGCAACCTTAAGGAAGCTTTACAAGCTCGGCGCGCACGGTCTACGTTGATGTAGCTCAAAAGGTGCGTGTTTTGCTGCGACGCCCGATAAAGTAATGGCATAGCCTATGGCTATTTGTCATCGGTTATCTGAGAATGTCATGTTGGAATTTTGGGTGCCGCTCCCAAACGGTCTCGTCCATTCCAGTGGTGGTTGTTACAGAAATTTATTCTTAAAAAAACGTTGTTTTGTGCATTTTCAATATTGTAAAGTCCTTTTTTTTTGGGGGGGGGGGGGGGGGAGGGGGGGGGGGGTAATGCAGTTGCATGAAAGCACCGAGCATAATTTGGGGTGCAGAGGTAGCAAAGAGAAGCGAAACATTTTCACGCTAGGTCTCTAGAAGATCAGAAATTTCATTGGGCTTAGTGTAGACCAAACCTAAACAATAATGCACTCAGACGTAAGATGACAACACACATTCACTGGTCCCTTTTTAAAGACTTACCTTAAATAGAGTGTTTAAAAGGAATGACTAGGGAATAAAATCGCATTCCCTGATGTTTTATTTACGATTTATCCCATTTTTTCACGCACCCTAAAAACAAAGCCTACAACAACACAAAGCTGATCGGTACAGCCTATCTCGTAATACTTTCAAACGAAAACTATACTTGACACAACTAAATTCCACGGCGCTATGAGGAGCTCAGCTACAAAATTGTATACCTTTTTTCTGTTATTAAAAGATGTTGCTTGTCGAGATATCGCTTGAGTGTCGGGTATAAGTTTGAAATCAATAAAAATATTACTCACGGCCTGGCGCAATTTCAAATAATCTATTCCGTCGCTCAACAAGACACGAAGAGTAGTGTAGCACCTACACCCTCTTTCAACTCCTGAAACGTGTGTCCTCTCCGTGGCAGATTGATCATCTTATTTTGCGTTCATACAGATACACTGAACGTCGCGCAATGTACAAAATGAAAGAAAACTTCTATTTTACACCTCAGCTTTGAGAAACCGCGTTTTTTTTCTTTTTTTACTATTGTGTTTTTCCTTTCCTTGTGACTGCATGTATACACAACATTGCTGCTAAGATGCATTTATACAAAAGAGGCTCTAAACCCATCAAATTGCCCGTGGGCAATTTGATGCAGAATGGGAGACTTCCGTCTCCCATTCTGCAGTCACACCATTTCTGTTGCGGCAGACTTAGAATAATAAACTGACTTGATTTGAAGCCCCCCAAGTCAATGTCATATGTTACAGCTGTTGAATTGCAATTCTGCTTAAAGACAAATTATTGAGCTACCCACACTAATGACATCTTCGGCATACCCAAACTTTACTCTCTAAGGCATAATATTTGTTCGTTCTAGATTCAAATATAAAACGGCAAATTAAAGTGATGCCGAAACCAAAGTTGATATTTTCCCGCGCTCTATAGTGGAGTGACTTTACGTGTTGTATAACTCCCAAGTCCAGCAGGCAAATTAAGAAACAGTATTTTTCCACGGGTTTTTATTTTTTTACGTGAGCTTAACTAGCACCAATGTCACGGCATCAAACTTAACATCTAAAACGCTGGGATTCGGCTATACTGGCGCCATAATGCACATATTTATTTATTTAGTACTACTACAAATCTCACAATGATATTCTAGTAGATGGGTATACAGCATCAAAAATAGTATCAATTCACAAAGGCCCTTGCCAGACAGAACAGTCCGGACAAAATTGGTGGAAATACAAACAATTGAAACAAGACGCGCAATAAACATATCTAGAACCTCCTGTTCAGCCGTGTCTCTAGGAAGCCCGTTCCACTCCACCATTGCTCATGGGAATAAGAAAATTTTTAAACAATTATTTCAATACCTTAGTTTGACAACGGAGAGTAAATGTTTTTTTTTTTTTTTGTCTTGTAGAGTAGCCCCCAGAAAAAGGTATATAATTATCACGATTGTTTTATAATGGCCATGAATGATTTAATGTAGGAATTTTAGTCTGCATACTTGGTTTCTTTCCGCCAGTGATGGAAGGCCAGCTTTTGGGTCTAGATCTCTCACTGGTGTCCTCCCATACGTGTTTAAATTAAGATGAATCAAACGACTTTATTTTGAGCCCTGTCTAACTTCGTAGTATTTAATATTGTAGAAGGGCCCTAAATGACGTTAGCAGATTGAAGCATTGGCCGAATAATTGTTTTATAAGGTAGTAATCAGGTGTTTGATGTAGAATATTTTTAATTTCTATTGAAATAGTGGGCTTGGCGGCAGCACGACCGGCAGCATGCTCAGCAACCCATTTTGTTTCCTGGTACAGGTCGTATCAGTTCTACTCGGACAGCAAACGGCATCGTATGGCTTTCAAGCGACAAGTCCCGATAGGAACGACGGGCTTGGCTCCGAATCTTCTGCTCTGGGCGATCGCTGCGTCATCGTCGAGCCTTTCGTGCCCCTCATCAGCGAGTCTTCGTTCGTGTCGACATCGGTGACGCCCCATCACGTGGTTCGCCTGAAAGCTACAAGAGCGCCAGCGACACCGGACTCTCTCAGTGGGCTTGGCGGCAGCACGACCGGCAGCATGCTCAGCAACTCATTTTGTTTCCTGGTACAGGTTAGTGAATATTTACCTCGTGGCGGTTATCGAAGTGATAACCGTTTTTTAGTGCTGCTGCCTTGCCAACCTTGCCAACTTACTGTAAAACGCTTGATAAATTTTGCTACTTCTGTTATTTCTTGGCAGCGAAATTTGTTGGTCTGTGGTGATGTGGAGGCAAATCCAGGGCCCACCGACAGAGAGCTCTTGTTGGAACTTCTTGCCGGCCAGAGCAAGATGAATGATACTGCTCTAAATGTTCTTGCTTCTTAAAATGAAATTAACAAAAAAATGACTGCGTTAACTGAACGAATTGATGGGCTGGAGCGACAGGTAACCGGTTTAAAAGCGGTGACCAAGCAAATAAAAGACATAGAAGCAGCAGTATCAGGATTTGACGCACAATTATCTTCACTCCATGCTAAAGTAGATGATTTAGAAAACAGAAGCCGCAGAAATAATTTGATAATTTATGGTATAGACGAGTCTAATACTGAGACAGTTGAAGAGCTTGAAGAGAAGGTAAAAAACCAGATTTTTCTACAAAAACTAGGAATAACAATCACCGGAATTGGGAGATGCCATAGGCTTGGCCGAAAAGTTGAAAACAAGCCCTGTCCAACTATCCTCAAGTTCATCGATTACCGGGAAAAATTGGCAATATTAAGGTCATCTTATAAATTAAAAGGCACTAAGGTATCAATATCTAAGGATTTCTCAATCAGAGTTCGCGAAATTCGAAAGCATTTATGGAAAAGTGCGGCTAACGAGAAAGAAAACGGGGCAAAAGTTAAACTAGTTTATGATAAGCTGAATGTGGACGGTGTGCTGTTTGGATGGGATGAAGGGAAGGGTTCACGCTTCAAGATAAGCAAAACAGATAAATGACGGTGTAGAAGTGCTTCTCGGTCATTGCGCTTGTTGAATGTCAATTGTAGAAGCGTCCTTAACAAAGCCACAGAGTTGGAAGGAATTTTGCTCTGTCATGATCCTGATATCGCCGTTCTCACTGAGACTTGGTTAAATGCTACGATATATGACAGTGAATTTGTCCCTGCTGGCTACAGTGCACTCAGGAAAGACCGTGGTAGTAAGGGTGGTGGTGTGTGTATTCTTTTTAAGAACTTCCTAAATATAGTGAGCATGCCTGAAATACCTGATACCGAGTGCATTTTTTGCAAAGCGTACGATGGTAAATGTAAATACATTATTGGGGCATTTTATAGACCCCCTGCATCTTCTACGGCTGTTCTTGATAATTTAGAAATGTATCTTGATACACATGTGAAGCCTGGTGATCGAGTTATTTTGGCAGGAGATTTTAATTTGCCAAACGTTGACTGGTCAAATTTTTCACTGAAACATCAAAATGACAACTTAGGCGAAGCAATGTTAGACATGACCTTTAAATATGACTTACTGCAGGTCGTTGAGGATTTCACGAGAATCCAAGGAAACTCTGCATCTATACTTGACCTTGTTTTTGTAAGCGGTACAATTTCGTCTGAATCTAGATGTGAAGTAATCCCTGGTATTTCTGATCACAAAGCAGTATTGTTAAGCTTAGAAGATGTTTCTGTAAATAGAAAAACCAAGTCGAAGTGTTATCCAAATTTTTCTCGTGCAGATGATGTCTCTATTATAGACATGCTTTCATTTAATTTAGACGATTTTGTAAACAGTACTGGTGATGTAAATGATCTTTGGAATTTGTTTAAAGTTATTGTAAGTGAATGTACTGACCGTTTTGTGCCAGTAATTGTAAAGAAGCAGAACAAAAAGAACCCCTGGATTTCTAGAAACGCCTTACAGTTAAAAAGACAATTGAAACGATTGAAAAAGAAAATTAAAACAAGCGCCGACTCGTGTGAGCTGTCTGAAAAATTTCTTGATCTTTCTTTGGAACTAAAACCCAAGTTACAGTTGATAAAAGTCGGTATTTCGGCGAATTTTTGTCAAACTTCATATCTACTTCACCGGAAAAATTTTGGCCATTAATATCTCCACATTCTAGAGATTGTGATGTTTTCGAAATTGGTGGTAGCTTAACCCATGACGAAAAAATAATTTCAAACGCATTTAATAAACATTTTAAATCGGTGTTTACTCAAGACGATGATGTGTTACCAAATTTTGACGCTGACTATCCGCCTATGCCTGATATTGTAATTAGTGAATGTGGTATATTGAATATGCTTTTGAAATTGGATGTAAAAAAATCCCCTGGGCCTGATGGTGTCCCCAATGCATTTTTATCCAGGTATGCTGAATGGGTCTCAAAATATTTGTTTGTTTTGTTTTCACGATCGCTGTCCGAAGGTCAGGTTCCAGACGACTGGAGAACTGCCAGAGTCAAACCACTTCATAAGAACGGAAACAAGCACTGCATTCAAAAGTACCGTCCAATTTCATTGACTTCAACTACTTGTAAACTTCTTGAACATATAATATATAATCATTTATCAAAATTCCTAGACGAACACAACATCTTGACTAAAAATCAGCCTGGATTTCGAAAAGGTTTTTCAACATGTACTCAATTAATTGAAACTGTTCACGATTTCTCGTGGGCAATAAACAATAGAAAACAAATTGATGCTATTTTTATGGATTTTTCGAAGGCATTCAATAAGGTCTCGCACAAAAAGTTACTATACAAACTGGAAAAAATATGTAAGAACACACAGTTATTTAGATGGATTTCAGCATATTTTTCAAATCGTCGACAATTTGTAGTTTATGGTGAATATTGCTCTGAACAACTTTCGGTTGACTCTGGCGTTCCCAAGGGCTCTGTGCTCGGACCTCTCCTTTTCTTGTTGTTAAATAATGATATAGTAGAAGATGTTCCGGTAAAAATCAGGTTATACGCTGATGATTGTATAATTTACTCAGAAATAGCTAGTACTTCCGATCAGCTTTTGTTGAATAGAGCTTTTCAAAAAATCATGGAATGGTTAACTTTGAACTGTTAACTTTGAAAAAACTGTTTTTATGAGAATAACACATAAAAGAAATCCTTTAAAATTTGTTTACAATACTAATAATATTCTTCTATCAGAAGTAACACAATATAAATACCTTGGATTATGGATCACTCATAATCTTACTTGGACAAAACAGCTTGACTACGTAACTTCAAATGTTCTTCGAAAGTTATTCTTTCTTAGAAGGACTCTAAGACTTTCTACCCCTTCCTTGCGTCTTTTAACATATAAAGCCATAGTCTTGCCAACATTAGATTACGCGGCTATCATTTGGGATCCCTTCACCAAACTAAACATTAACAAGCTGAATCGTGTGCAGAAAAAGGCAGTTCGCTACATTTACAATAGCTTTGGACGAACCTCTATAACCGAACTTTTAACCAGAGCTAACTTAAAGTCATTATCTCTCAGAAATCAGCATTCTCGACTAAAATTTTTGTATCAATTAATAAATGGACATTGTAGGATAGATCTGTCTCACTTAATAAACTTCTCATCAGGCTACGCTACTCGTCAGAGGCATGCGCTAACAATAACTCCTTTTCAATCGCACAATAATTGCTTCAAGTACTCTTTTTTTCCGCGAACGGTAACTGATTGGAATAGCCTTTCTGAAAGTGTCGTTATGCAGCCATCATTATCTTTATTTGAATCCCTTCTAAATTAGTTTTGTCCCTCTGAAAAATATTTGTTCGTTTGTTTCTGCGACTTGTTTGCTATTTTGTATGCCTGCATGTCTTGTCGATCAAGTGTATACCCACCTGCTAAAATCCCTTTCAGGGGTTGCAGTATCAATAAATAAATAAATAAATAAATAAAGTAAGCCGCGAAGAGAATTAGTTTTTGTGGACTCAATATGCTTATTCTAGCTTTATTGGTTGGTTATCCATAGTCCCGGATATTTGTATTCTGAGGCCTCTGATAGTCTCTGTTATCGAAAAAATACCTAAACTTAAGAGACTGCCTTTTTATGAGTTATGAACATAAAAACTTTTTTTTATAATTAATAGACATCTGCCAAGAGTCAGACCACTTTAGAATCAATCCCAGATTTTGATTCAACTGATGTTCATTGTTAATATCATTGACTTCATAATAGAGCGCACAGTCATCAGCATATGATATCAATCCTACAAAAATGTCGTTTACGATATCCATAATAAATAGCAAAAAAGAGGTTCAAGATCAGATCGATCTGATCTTGAACCTCAAAATCAACAAAAATATTATTATAAGTGGTGCTGTTAAAATCTATGTTGTTGTCTTTTGGTAAGATATGCTACTATCCAATTGACGAGCTCTTCATTTTTAAATTTCGCTTGCAATTTAGTTCTTTGTTTTGTTTTTATTCGAAACCTTGTCAAAGGCCTTCACTAAATCTAGGAAATAGCTATGAACTTGATTACTTTTTTAATGGATGATGCAAAATTATAACTCAATTACAACAATTGTGGACTTGTAGAATAACCACTTCGAAAGCCGTGTTGTTTATCTGTTGGACTGCATTTGATCAAGGAACTCAAAATTATGTTTACCAATTACATGTTCCAGAAGCTTGCTTGATGTTGACGCAAGCGAAATCGTCCTATAGTTGCAAACGAGTTGCATGTTTTCAGATTTATGTAATGGTCTACTCCTGGCGTTTTTACAGTCATCAGGAAGTGGACTTTTATATAACGATTTTTTAAATATAACAAATAAATACACGGAGACCCACTAAGTGTAGCGGCACAAAACTGCATTAAGCAAACTATCAGGCCTTAAATGCTTATTTTCGTTTATAATAAGCAACATGTTATAAACACCACTCTCACTGAGAACTGAGTCTGGAATGCTTGGAATGCTTCATGTATTTCCTAACGGGACACTCGTCTATCACCACTGGTAAATACCGATTTAAAGTGGTTATTAAATGCTTTAGAAATTTCACTATCAGTGATTGGGAGGTTATTGCTAATAAACATGTTAGAGATAGCAGATTAAATTGGCATGTGCCTTCAAAACTTTTCCGGCAAGATTTAGTAAAATTACTCAGGGTAACATTAAAGCACCAGTACTCGTCTGAATATATTGGCTCTTTCAATTTAGGGATTAACATTCCTATTTTGCGCCTGATCTGAAGGAAACCAGTCGTTCAACGAGCCCTCTAAGTTATCTAGTGTACGTGGCACAGCTAAAACGTTGGGCCAGTCAATATTGGGTAAATTTCAGTCTCCCCACATAATTACTTTCATCAATGCTTAGTTCTTGGTGTTGGGTTAAGTACTCTCTAACATTATCTAGGGCAGAAAGGGGTGTAAGGGGTGGATTGGGGGGCATATAAACTCCTCCATGGAAATACGAAGTATTGTTAAAAAGTGATTTACAAAAGATTACTTCTACATGAGGAACATCCTCCATCCTCAGAAGCTTTACGGTTTTGTCGTACAGGAACTATACACTCCTTCCTCTTGAATCTCTATTTCTACGAAAAACGTTGTTATATGGCGGGAGAAGCTCATTATCCAAAATGTTATCATTAAGCCATGTTTCTCTTAGGGCTAGAATTTTGAGGCGATACACACAAATAAGATGCTCAAGTTCTAAAACCTCATTTACAACACTACAACAGTCAATATTTAGAATGCTAAGCAACTGCGGCGAAGGACCACAACGTCAATCACTCCTTTGTTACTGTTGCTCAAACTTATATCATCAAGTCTTCCTACATATACACTTTTTCGCTGACAACTACTTTATCGTTTACTACTTTCACTCTATCTGTATTGGCTCTGTTCGCAGCAGCGCTGTCCCAAAGGTATGTACGAATTTCGTGGACCCTAAGCGTAAAATTCTCGGTCACAAATATTTTGGAACACTTAAGTTTCGAACAATTTTTCAGCATGGAATGTTTTCTGCGAAAATAAATCAGTTTAAAAATTACAGGCCGCGTCCTGCCGCCGATCTTCCTCACTAATCTCTGGCATCTTTCCACTCCCGTTATCAAGGTTCCAAGCATCTCTTGAAATACATCATTAATCAGTTTGTCATGTAGGTTGACTGCAGATTCGTACGACAATTCATCAATGCCACGAACAACCAGGTTTCTTCTACTACTCCAAAAGAATATACAAATAATTTGAATTCACTTTGTTACCGTCTCCCAACGCAAGGTGTTTTTTTTTCTTCTTTTTTTTAGTTTTGATCTTTTTTTATTCGAGGGGGGGGGATATATCGCATATTCTCCGTCAAAGAGTGAATCAAACACATTGTTCTGATCCAAGGAGTCGACAAACTTTAAAAAAAATTTTCTGGAAATGTATTATATTTTTTTGCTTTCATTCTTTGACTTCGTTCATATTCATGTGTTCTTGTGAAAGAATCGCTAAAATAGAAAAACAATCAAAGGGAATCCTTTTGTTATTTGACTGTTTTATCCTTCGACTTGTTCGAGGATGTTGGTAAAAGCGTGATGCATCGGTATTTGTTTTGAATGTTAAGCATCTAAGCATCTCTAAAAAGAATACCAGTCTGACGGAATTCTTGCAGGTGCATTGTTGACCACAATGCAATTGAACCACAAAGTTATTTGCGACAGTATAATTTTAACAATAAATGGGGATCATTTCTTCTATTAGCGTCTTGCAACGTTTTTGCGCAGTCATGGGGGCTATAATTCTAACGTTATCTTGAGGTTTTCCCTGGGGTAACGAAAGATGAATGCGGCTGATGAATGAATTGGACGCGAGCAATGGTTGAGCGTTCGGACTTTGCTCCGTTACAATCAATGCTTTGGCGTACATTCGGGCTGAGACTATACTTTTCTTTTTTCACCTTAAGGGAAGACGCAGCCTAAGCTGATGAGGCCGATCAGAGAGCGTCAAAACCGCACCATCATGGTTTTCGTGTTCGTCATGTTTCTTCGCTGTGTTCAAATTCCAATTTCAAATTTGGGGGTTTTACGTGACAAGCCAACGACGGGCATCTGGCACGCCCCAGCGGAGGACTGAGGATTAATTTCGACCACCTGGGAATCTTTTGACGTGCAGCCGAAAGCTCAATTACACAGCGCCTTCTCCGCAATAAGCCTCCGCCAGATTGCGGGCACCTCGGCCGGGATTCGAACCCGCCACATGGGGATCCGTAGGCCGGCGCTCTCGTCCCGG